AAGTGTTGGTTGCTTGGTAACAGACTTAATAGTGGATTGTCGAACTTGACACAATGTAAGATGTCCTCCTAGCTACAAGACGATTATGTAAAATTCTATAAAAAATCAAGTTAGAATTTGCTTCTGTTACAGAGGCCAGCTAGTGAAGTGCTGTGTAGGTAAACCTCACTCCTCGGACCTCTAAATTGTGCTCTAGCGACAGACGCTAGAGGCCATCGTCTTTAGCCTCCTTGATAAAGCATCCAACTCTTATGTGGAAGGTTGGCGGTTCGAACCCAGCTCTGAGCAGGTTGGGTGGTGTAGGACTCAAGGGTTTTACTTCTGCAACACAAATTTGTATCAAGGATGACTTGTAACACAAATTTGTCAAAAAAAAAAAATTTAACATAGCATGTCTTAAGATATGGCATAAGATGAGAAAGTTTCTGTAATACACTCCCCGTTTGTTGGGGAAGTGGACCTGACTGAGACTGAAAAAATACAAAAATAAATAAATACTGGATGGAGCACCCAAAGGTTTTGTTTATGTGAACAAACAAAAAAAAATGCCATACTGTACATCCATTTAATCTCGCATTAGACCATTTACCTTTCCGTTTTACCATCATTTAGCAGATGCGCCTTACAAGTGAGGATAAAAGAAGCACTTTAACTCATCAGAGAGTTGCATTGTATAAATGCTATTCCTAGTCTGTCACATTGTTTCCCCTCCGAGTTTGTGAAGAGAAGACTGTCCTATAGGTAGTTTGTCAAGCCCACTCACCCATAAAGCACACTAAAAACTGCTGAACACTAAGAAGTGTTGATAAGAAAGTATCTGGTCCATACAGAGATGAGAGAATGTATCCTATAGGTGGTTTGTCAAGTCTACTCACCTGCAGAGTCATTTTTTTTTTAGTATTGGTATCAGTCGATAAAACTTTCCCTGTGACTAATGTTTTCAATTTTCTGCAATAATGCTTCCTCTTAAAGATAGAAGCTGCGTCCCAAATCGCATACTTATGCACTATTCTACGCCATTTTGTAGTATAAATAGTGTAAGTAGTGCGTTCACACTGAAAACTCTAAAAATAATAAGTGCACTTTAATTACCCGGATGATGCACTCATTCAGCGGCTAAAATGAAGTGTGTAATGATGGACACTTCACGCACTGAACGACCGCAGGTTTGCTTACGTAGCGGAAGGGGCGGAGCTATCGGACGCACATGTTGAATAACTTTATTTAATTTGGATGGTGAAAGCAAAATTCTTTTACGAGAGTGATTATAGCGCCTCCCGATAGTGATTGCGGCAACACTCACGGCAGGTATTATTTGATAATTCGGCCGTTTACTTCAATGATTTGGCAACCGTCAAACGTCATCAGGGAAACGGTTTGAATTTCCGCTTAGTAAAAAAAACATTAGTGTGCCATTTGGGACGACACTACATACATATACTACCCTGTTGAGTGTGTAAGTGCATAAGTACATAGTGCATGAGTGCATAGTGTATAGTGTGCCATTTGGGACGCAGCAAGAGTTTGCTTTCACTTTTCCTATTCGTACTTCCTGAGACTTATTACTTCCTGTATTTGGTTTGGTCATATGGTTTTGTGTGACATCAAGATCTCGGTTTAGAGAGCTCTCAAGGCACTAGCAAATATGTCGATAACAGTAATTTTTCCTTGATGTGTACATCGTCATTTTTTGTTATTAAAGATTGAGTTCTGACTAGAGCTTGTGAAACTCAAACTCGATCATTTTTTTTCCCAAATTGAACAATAAAGATAAGTTTAGATATAGGTGGTTCTTGCTTCCAGCTTTAAAAGTTATTATCCGTACAATAACTCTTGCTGCAAAAAAAAATAGAAAAAAATAAATAAACTACAAAACTTTTTTACAAAGATGTAAAAATATTGTCTATTAGCAAAAGCAGATTACACATTTGGCCTTAAATTAAAACAAACAGTAAAATAGATTTAATAAAGATTAATCTGGCATAATGAGGTAAATGAAATGTGCAAGATATAAACAATAGAAATATACAGTACAACTGTCAACAAGTCCACACAAATTGTAAAATTTTCAGGGTTTTTTTGGGATGATTTTTTTAGGTGATTGAATATGTTGATTGTGTTGCCAGACTTGTTTTTCACAAACCATTGACATACTTTGCAGATCATTTTATTCTGCTCTTGTCACACTTCAGATAGCCAAACCACTTCCATATAATAGAATTCGTGCTGCCGTTTTTGTGAATAATTTCCAAAACCTCAAGGTTAATTTACTTTCGTCACTGTTTCCACTCATTATTTCTTTATTTTTGTCGTCTTGTCAAGTTTGTTAGCTAAATGTTTTTTTTTTTTTACTTCATGCTGATTGGTTGATCTTGTTGCAAATTGCTGCTATGTGATTGGCTCTTAGATTAATATCGAGTAAAATGTCCATCGTTATCGAAATACATTTTATCGCAATTCGATATGATATTGTTTATTGGCCCAGCCCTAGTTCTGAGCATTCTTTTTTTAAACAACTCATTAAATTTAAGAGGACCAGCCCTGCACTTGTATGGATGTTCGGGTGGCAGCAGTAATAATAGAACTGGAGTATTTGCATGCCTGGAGGAAAATAAAGTCAAAAGCCTGTTGTTTGCATTACCTTCACTGAGCAGAAACTGGCATTGAAATGAAGAAACATCTGCAAAGCAAAGCATCAGGCTGTATTTTGTACAAAGTCTACATTATAATCTAAGAGTTATAAGACTTAATGAAAGGAACACCACAACAGCGTAGGGTGCTATTTATTGCTCTCCCTCTAATCTTTATTTGTCTTAACAGAAGTAAATGTCATCCCACTATTACTGGCCACTAGTGGTCACTTTAGATCTATCTGCATTGACACAGTGACATATATCTTTGCAAAAAAAAGTACAACAACATATCCCAGGTAGCCCAGATTTGGCATAAATCTGGCACAGCAGGCACTCATCCGGCACTGGCATACAGCATGTGGGCCAAACATGGCCCTGGTTTGGCAGATGAGGCACCATTTTTAAGATGGCACAGAATACTTGGGCTAGATGTAAAATGTATTATTTGGCCCAGATGTTAAAAATGATATGTGGGCCACATATGTTTGGCCTATCTTGACCCACATTTAAAATACATTTGTATTATTTTCAAATAAAGAAACAAAATTGACTAATCAGGTCTCTCTGAGAAAAAGCATGGCCATAGCACGCCTAAAGTGCAATGATTCATAGGTTTTTGAATTTCACTGCAGCCCTGACACTACTATATCTGGCCTAGTTCAGGCTCAGTTATGGGCTATTAACTTGGCTGAGACTTGGCCCAGATATAGTCCATGTTTGGCCTTTGTCCAGAAGCTAGACTTTGTCCAATCATGTACCGTAATTCACTGCAGCATGTGGGCCAAAGCTGGGCCAGAGATATTTTTCTATGTGGTATGAATTCAAATACTTATAAGACCAAAGAGGATACAATATTCGTAAGCAGTAAAAAATGCTTAGAATGTTTAAGAATTTGAAAAATCCCAAAAGAAAAAGATCCATGATTTTTGAGAAACGGTATGCATTAGATTAGACGACTATAATTTTTCCACGTTCACAGACATATTAGATGCATTTATTCAAATGAATTAAGTCTCACTTTGTTTGTGGTTTAGTAGTTACATTGCATCCGAAATATATTCATAGTGCTCCACTTTTTCAACATTTTTTATGTTTCAACCTTATTCCAAATGGATTAAATTCATTTATTTCCTCAACATTCTACACACCATACCCCATAATGACAATGTGAAAAAAAGATTTTTGAAATGGTTGCAAATTTATAAAAAATAAAACACCTGAAAAATCACATGTGCATACGTATTCACAGCCTTTGCTCAATACTTTGCTGATGCACCTACAGCTTTTACAGCAATTACAGCCTAAAGTCTTTTTGAATATTGCTGTACATCTCAAGCTCTACAGCCATTTTCAGATCTCTCCAGGGATGTTCAATAGGATTTAGGTCTGTGCTCTAGTTGGGCCACTCAAGGACATTCAGAGAGTTGTTGTGAAGCCACTCCATTGATGTTTTGGAAGGGTGCTTTGCGTCATTGTCATGCTGGAAGATGAACCGTCGCCTCAGTCTAAAGTCAAGAGCACTCTGAAGCAGCTAGGTTTTCATTCAGGATGTCTCTGTACATTGCTGCATTCATCTTTCCCTCTATCATGACTAATCTTACACTTCATGCTGCTAAAAAAGATCCCCACCACATCAAATTCCTTTGTTTTCATGGTTGATTTGTGCTTTGACATGCACTATAAACCCTGGGACCTTATATAGACAGCTGTATGCTTTTTCAAATCATGTCCAATCTATTGAATTTACCACAGGAGAACTCCAATTAAGCTGCTGAAACATCTAAAGAATGATCAGTGGAAACATCATGTAGCTGAGCTCAATTTAGAGCTTCATGGCAAAGGCTGTGAATACTTCTGTACATGTGATTTTTCAGGTTTTTTATTTATAATAAATTTGCAACAATTTCAACAAATCTTTTTTCACATTGTCATTATGGGGTATTGTGTGTAGAATTTTGAGGAAATAAATTATTTTAATCTATTTTGGAAATCTAGATCAAAGTCTAGATGCAAAATGAAAATCAAATTTGGTTAGGAGGTAAGAGGATGTGTTACCTGTCTGAATCAAACCTTTCCTTTCACTGTGAAGCTGTGCCAACCCAGAATATCCCAAACTATTCCTGTGTCATCAGTCCTTCCAAATGTTCTCCTTTGTTTGAATGTTTCCAGTGCATCAATATAGCGGACCTGTAATGTAGTTTAAATGATGTATTTGGTATGAGCTGACTGATTGCCGCTGCTGAGGTTAGCACGTTTATCCTGTTGTGATTCCAGAGACTTTAATAATTGTGTGATGCAGATGTTGGATTACTTTTGACTTTATTTTTGTTCTTGTTTGTTTCTCTCCCTCTTTCTTTTTTGTTTTAGATTGAGATCCGAGATACCAAGGACCCTCGATTCGGCGTCCAGCGGTTTCCGTGAGGAGACAGCATCCCCTTCTCTCCTTTTTTTTCTCTCTCCTTGTCCTCAGGCCTGTGTCTCTAAACTCAGTCAGGATGCTGCTAGTTCAGCTCTTTGTAATATAGAAAAAAAGACTGGAATAAACTTCAAGAAGAGAACATATTCAGCATACACCTATTTAAATACCATGAGAATTGAAAACCAATAAAAAGAAGAAAAGATCAGCTTTACATAAACCAACAACTCTGGGAAAGTAACAAGTTACGCATAATACTACTGTTATTTAATAATGCTTTGACGACAATTATGATGATAGTCACGATTATGCTTGCGGCAGCGATATTATGTTCAGACTTTCATATTTGATCTAAAACGGGGAACATATTTCTAGCTTTAAGGGAATATAATGAATCGATGCATATGTACAAGAGATTGGGTGCTACTCTGGACACGCAGATGACAAGGACAAACATCAAGCCAAAAATTTAAATAAACAGAAAAAAAGAAACATTTTGTACAGCACAAGATGTAATTTTGAAGATCGTCTTTTTCTGACAAAATTTTGAATTCCCCTCTTTGTACATGTGGTCAGCAATCAGAGTTAATCGATTAGTTAATTTGTAAAAATCTATATTTCTATGGATACAGGGTACAGCCATTAAGCATTTATTCAACCGCATCGCAATCCTTCTGCAAACTGATTTATTATTTTATCACCCGAAGGTTCCGATGGTCATGCTGTGACTGTGCAGATTGACAGCAGTTATCTAATTTGGCATGTAAACCTCTTCTTACTTTGCTTATTTACAGAAACGTTCTCTCTTGATATTTCCTTTTTCGTTGAAGAGTGAAAAATTCATGATTAGTGAATAGTACATGTTTGCGCTCATTTTCTGCAGCTGTTTGTGGTCATGAGACCAAGGTGATTTTCATTCTCATTAGTCATTTGTCTGGAGGAAAAGCCCTGCATGCTGCATTTTACTCAGGCCCAACATGTTCTGATCTGCCATCTCCCATATCAAGTAGAGCACAGTGGAACAGCACAAAGTTAACCGGAACACATCTACTAAGTGACTACTGAGACTTGGTGTACAGTCATAAACATGACTACTTCTTTGTTTCCAATGCAAGATGTGTAGCACAATAATTCACACACTTTCTCAGCATACACTCATCCTTACAATCAATGGACTGATGTGACTTAATTCCTCACGTATGCAAAGCGCAACAACCGAATCTTCAAACGATATCAACAGTACCACTTGCAAATAAGAAAAATCCTAATATTTTCTTATATACATCCAAACAAAATAGGAATCTTTGCACAGAACAAACACTTACACACATGAAACATTGGTCAAAGGAAAACATTTGTTGGTTTGGTTCATTTTAGCTGCATCTCTGTTCAATGGCATCATTTAGGGTCTGGAACTGATACAGACCTTCGAAGTGTGCTGGACAAGAACCTTTCACCGCCATTTAGGATCACTTCAAGAGGACAGTACATCAGGGGTATAAGTCTGACCCCTGCAGCCCTTTGAGCGGGAGTTTTTTGGAGGTGAAATGGAAAGGACTGAAAATGAAATGTGACGTACTCCACGGTGCTTAAACCCTCCTCGCCCTTAGATAAAGACTGATTGCTGCTCCCCATCTACCTCAGTCTTGAACCCCTCATACTCTGTTTACTTGATGTGCTCCGCTGGGAGATGACTACTGAGATCAGATGGAGAGCGGGGTGGTAGGAGCAGGAAGATCACACTGCATTGGACTTTTAGATTAACGGTTTTCTTTTAAAATGCATCTCCTTGCATCCCATCATTCATCCAGTCCTTTACATTACATTTGAAGTTCGAAAAAAGCAGAGACATTTTGTGTCCAATGTCGCATGTCATGATTTTGCCAAGTACGTTGTGATCCTGGACTAATGTCTATGTTCATCCGAAAACATAATTTTTGTTTGAAAATGTAATCCATACCTGTTCCCTACCCCTAAACCCAACCATAACTGTAAATTGGTCCAAAATCAGAGGAGAATAATAGTTGGATAACAATCATGCACAAGTGGAAAAACAGTAAGCCTAAACTGAACATAAATGGTAAACGTATCCCTTAGTTCTGATTGGCTGATTGAAATGTCATTCAACATAGATGTTAATCCAGGAACATGTCCTACTTGGTGAAATCATGTTGGCAGTTAAATGTCTGTTTACCCCAAAATCTGCCTTTTATAAAGAGGTCAATAAAAAAATCCAAATGATTAGATGATTTAATCCAAATCTTTTGAAGGAACTTGATGTGTTATGTTCACACACAACTATTGATTAGTGAACAATGTTTACAGAGCTCAAGTTGGTTGATTCTTGTTGTGAGAACCAGTGAGCTCTCCTGTTTAATTTTTTTTTATGTATAAAGTGATCATGTCTTCTTAGAAGATGTGGATTAAACTGCTTGATTCATAGGGACGATTATTATATATTATATAGTTTTTTTCAGACTTTTATTTTGTGGACTTGCAATGACTAGACATTTCATTAAAATTGAACAATTCAATAAATAGGGTGACACGGTTTAGCCTCAAAGTAAGAGGGTCACTGGTTCAAGTCCCGTCTGAGTCAGTTGGCATTTCTATATGGATTTTGCATGTTCTCCCAGTGTTTGTGCGGGTTTCCTACTGGTGCTCCGGTTTCCCGCACAGTCCAAAGGTATGCAGTATAGGTGAATTGAATAAACTAAATTGGCCGTGGTGTATGTGTGCGAATTATTGTGTTTGGGTGTTTACCAGTACTGGGTTGCAGCTGGATAGGCATCTGCTGTGTAAAATATATGCTGGATTAGGGTTGGGTCGATAAACGATGCCTTTGTCTATCGCCGATGGCCAATAGACATCACGATACTGAGCCGGCGTCGCAATCCTTCACCCCACCCCTGTCGCAGCAGCAACCCACTCAAAAAAAAATACACACGGCCCTGTTTACACTAATACGTCTTAAGGCCCCTGCACACCAGAACGCTTTTTGCTCTCGTTTTCCGTTTATGTTTACCGCCTCGTGACTAAATAAAGGGCGCCAATGTGATCATGCACACCAACATTGATATTTAACATGATATTTAATTAACCTTGTCTATCTAATGACTTCTGTCTTTTGAATCTGTCAGGTACCATGTCACAGTGTCAGTACACTGCTTTAATCTTTCACTTTCATGCTTGTACTTAGTAATTTTAGCGAAACCTCAGATACTGTTGGTTGTGCACGTTTTTTACCAAGTTTCTCAACACTATTATAATGACACAGATCAATTTGCCTGTTCATGCCAGAGTCCCGTGGAAAAAGTGATTGACGGGTGGTAATTTGTGTGTAACTTTTTAAAAATTTATTTATGATTTGATTATGGTTAAAACAGACCATGCTGGTCAGGTAGTTGAAACGGTAGGCTACAACTAATAAATTTGTTCTAACTTAATTATTTTTAAATAATTTATTCACCGTCGCCTACAACGACAAAGCCATCATCCATCACGATGTTTTATATTAGACATCATACAATGGCAAATTGGTCGACATCAATCAACCCTATGCTGGATAAGTTGGCGGTTCATTCTGCTGTGGCAACCCCTGATGAATAAAGTGACTAAGCCGAAGGAAAATAAAGTTAAATTCAATGAATAGACTTTTGGATAAACAGACATTCATTTTTGTTTTAACTGTGAGCAAATGTCTTATGCCTGTGAAACAGGAGTAAATGATAGCAATTTAGTGTATTTGGGGGGAACTTTCAGTTTAACTATTTACAATAATTTAACGTTTAACTGTTTTATTGTATTTTGACTTTAATTATGTGCTACATTGGTGACAAGAAAGACGAATATTTAGAAATATGCCTTAGACAGGGTTTTTCCTAGCTCAAAATGAGGTGGAGGTGGTATCCCGGTCATGGAATTTTTGCTACTTGAAACAAATTTTGTATTATTCTTGTAATCAGGTAAAAACTGATCTTATTTAAAAAAGGCTAACATGAAATGTAATTGCACATGACCAGTTCTTGGGCACCGCTTAGAGTCTTCCTGTCTTTTGTCAAGAGGCGAAAGTGATACAAAATTTGAAGGACTTGGCTGCCTAATTCTCAATGCAGGAAAAACCCTGTTAGAAATGTCTTTGCTTTCTTTCATTCATCATTCACGTTACTATTCAGCATCATGCACATACTGTATAGAAATTCCCAACCCAGTTAAACTTCAAACAAAACACATTTAATAGTAATTTAGACCTGAGTGCACTGTGCTGGTCAGTCTACCCTCAATGACAACTATTTCTTTCAGAGAATTTGGCCACCTCAGGGGCAGTGTATTTCTGCACTATTGAATATAAATTCTTCTCAAAGCCATTCTTATTCAGTTTGTCTCAGTGCCTGTAGCCTGCACCGACAATGTTTACGGCTCGGTACCTAGACGTTATTCAAGAGGATATACTATTTTGTGATTCGAGGCAATCCACCTGGCTGGTTGCAAAAAAGTATCATTACCATTATCATTTCCGCCGTGTTTAAGATTTATGTAGACATGCCAGCAGACACAGGACATCAACATGATGTCAGATTGAAGTTGTACCCCAGCGTCGTGGGATTTTGCATTTTGTTTTGAAATAAATATCAGGTTGATGTCAATGTCTAACATGGAGCAGATGTTGCATTTTGGTTACTGTCCAACGCAACGTAAAAACAACAAAATATGATTGTCTTATGATGTTACAGCTTGACATTGTGTGGACGTTACGAATATGGTAATCATACAAATATGTTGGATTTTGGTTGTTGTACCTGATGATTAAATCTGACGTCAATATGATGTTGGTTTAAAAAAATCAACAAAATATTAATGTCTAACGATGTTACAGCTTGATATGTTGCGAATGTTACCAATATGACATCTATGAGACATTGGATTTTGGTTGCCATTCCTGACGCTTAAATGTCAGTATCTGACGTCAATACGACGTTGATTTAAGATGTTGGCAATAGGACGTTGGATTTTGGTCATTTTCCAACACTATCTAAAATCAACAAAATATACAAGTCATCTTTGATCTTACTTAATATTAATGTCTTATGAAGTTGTGTGTCTGCTGGGACATGAAGATGTAGAAAAAAGCATTTAAGTGAAATGTTCTGGACTGATCATATAGTGTAAATCTAATTTGCTAGTTTTGTTATTTTCCACGCAATGTTCATTTAGTTAATCACATGTGAACAGCATTGTCATCCAGTGTCCTGTCATCAACATTTACATATCAAATTCAAGCTTTGATAGGCTCATGTTGCTGAAGAATAGTGGTGTTTGTTTCATTGGGTTTTAACTTTTACTTTCTCTTTTTGTCTTACCGCATCGTTTTCTTGATCCACCTTGAAACAAAGAAAAAAAGACTTAAGCGTGCCAAAACGAAAGAAAAAGAGTACTGTGGAAAGATATGACAAGTTTGATTTCTGAAGTTCACATTGTCTTTTCTTGTGCTTCACGTGTTTAATGCCTCTCTTTTGGAGATTATGCTTTTTGCTCTAGTTGTAATGTTTTCCCCCCTCTGACCTTTCTGGAATGCTGTATTCTCTAAATTAAACTAAAATGTATCAAATATTTCTGCAAGTCATAGGGGAGTGCGACATAACTGACATCGTCACCATCACTGAAACATTGTTGGTGTTGTTGTTTAAAATATTAAAAAACGAAAAACATTGAGTACTATGTTATGGGTTTATTTTGGGGAAAGGTACGTGTTTTATGTATCACATATGACAAACAATCCTTTTAACATCTTGTAAACTACATTTCAATTTGTTTGATTCAGTGTGAGTTTGACTGAGTGTATGTATGTGTGTGTGTGTGTGTGTGTGTGTGTGTGTGTGTGTGTGTGTGTGTGTTTGCAAGTTATATTTAGCTGTATCCGAGCTAGAAAATATGCTGGAAGCCTGTTTGCACATTATATAACGATTATGAAAAAAATGCTGTCTGTGTGTCCAGTCTGGTGAATGTCGGCAGAAAGCCACTTCCTGTAGCGCTTATTAACAGCGCCATGCAGGAGAATGAAGGGTGAGATCAAAAGAGCGAGGGATGATGAAAGAGAAAGGCTGGGCCCTGGCCAACACAGACAGGATGGCCCTTGTCCAGAGGGGATGCCAGCATATCAGCAGGCATTAAACGGCATCTTTGGTATGGCCAGGTGCTGCAAGCTGTGTTATAGAGACAAACCCCTCCACCCTGAGAGTAATTACAAGTTGGCTTCACCGGAAATCCACAAATGCCGCACTGGGTCACAAAATTACACAATTTGTATTCTAATACACAGGACAACATTTTCATGTGTTATTGTTTAATAATTCGATTTTTGTACATAAAACTATGTGAACATGCAAATCATATACACTACCCGACAAAAGTCATGTCGCCTATACAAGTTTTAGGAACAAAAAATAGTAACTTGACTTCTAGTCGATTATTTGGTATCAGAAGTGGCTTATATGAAAGGCAAAGGCCTCTACATTACGCTTTTTTTACCAAAATAAAATTTGATCATGCCCTAATTTTTAATTATTTAATTAGGACAGAAAGGTTTGACTTTACATAGACAAAAGTCTTGTCACTTAACCGAAATAATGTACTGTATAAAATATAAAATCATGCTGCAGTGGAAAAAGAATTAATATTGTGTGTGACTCCCATGAGCTTGGAGGACTGCGTCCATACATCTCTGCAATGACTCAAATAACTTATTAATAAAGTCATCTGGAATGGCAAAGACAGCGTTCTTGCAGGACTCCCAGAGTTCATCAAGACTTTTTAAATTCATCCTCAATTTCCTTTATCTTACATATGCTTAATAATGTTAAACTGGTTACTGGGCTGGCCAATCCTGAAGCAATCTTTTCTTTTTCATTCTTTTATAGAATTCTTTTATTTCAATTCAATTCGTAATTATTTATATAGCACTTTTACGATGTAGATTGTGTAAAAGCAGCCTAACAGGAAGATTCTAGTAAAGCCCAGATTTCAGAGTTGATGTTTAGTTCAGTTCAGTGTGATTTAAATTTAATTGGTAAAAATTCAGACAATGAAGAGCAAATCCATCGATACGCAGCTCCACAAGTCCCAATCTGAGCAAGCCAGTGGTGACTGGAGAGGAAAAAAACTTCATTAATTGACGAAGTAAAGGGAAAAGGCCTAGAGAGAAACCAGGCTCTGTTGGGCAAGATCATTTCTCTTCTGGTCAA